ATATAGACGATTTATGACCCAGTCGATGCTTTCCCTGCTCAAAAACCCAGCTTAAACCAGCCTAGGATGAAATATAGTTTTATTAAGTCATGCGCCTACGGTAATATTGACAAAAATTACTATTGCGGTATGACGGTATTTACCATATTGTTACATCCCTACTTATATCCTAAAGGTTTTGCGCACAAATCTAAAATCAAGATTATCAAGAAATCAAGAAATAAACCCTGCAAAACAAGACTCCAGGGTCACAAATAAGCATTTGTCTTTAGTTTACACGACAGCCGGAAACATATTTGCTTTCCTTCCTTGTTTTCGCTGTAAACCCTGCTGAAAAATCCAGCTTAAACCAGCCTAGGATGGTTGGCTGGTTTTAGCTGGTTGACCAGGCTGGTTTTAGAGGGGTTTTGGCCACTTCCAGGCTGGTTTCCAGCCATTTCCAGCCTGGTCTTAGCTGGTCAAACTGGGAGATGACCAGATAAAACCAGCTTGATCAGCCTAGCCAGGCTGGGAGCCCATGCTGGTCAAGTTGGTTTAAGCTGGTCATTTCCTGAGTTATAGGTGTGTTTTGAGAATAAACCAATCAGAGTCTCATCTCCCATTACATTTAAGACCCAGCTGCGTCACGCAAAGAGCGCATTCGCTATTTACAGGACGCAAAGTAAGTCTACGCGGAAAAAATGAGCATTTCACCAGCAAACAGTAAACAGTTAACAGAAAACTGTTAAACAGAGCATCTACTGCATGAGAATGAGAGATAATGGATCACTTTCACTTTCGCTCTTGGATAGGGAAACCTTTACGCACAGACATCAATTAGTCTATAAATAATTAATTTTGTTTGTTAAGCGCAAATATTTGTTTCAAAACTATTTCTAAATTCAGTTCTAATTTCCAGCAAACGAATAAATGAACAATAATAGCAAAATGTGCTCAAAAACCTGAGTTATATCCTAAAACACATGCTGTGCCTCATATGGTCTAAAACCTGACAGGTGGGCAAATCTAAGCTTGTTTTTAATAAAACAAATATAAATATGTATATAATAAATAATCCTGCTAATAATAATAACATTATACAAAAGCAAATTGTTATGAATGAACTGAAAAAGCCTCCCGAGATGAAGAAGACATAAAAGCAGTGATTTTTCATATTTATGTAGGCTAGAAAATAATATGTTTTGTAATATTTTAATCCTTTATATTTATATCCTATATCTATTCTTATTATATCCTATATATATCCTTAATATTTAAATGTTTTCATATGTAAAGATATTTGCCTGTTGCTCTCTTGTGTGTATTAAGCAGTGTGTAAGTGAGGCGCAACTCTGCACTGGAGTTTAGACCGGGTTAGTTTTGGTCTAATGAAAAATCTATTATAGTTTCTCAGAATAGCAACGCGCCAGCGGTCCGCCTCAGAACGCCTTCCTTTCTAGACCAGAACGCCTATGAGCGCACAAATGAGCACTAATGCATTTGCTATTTAAACAGCGTAGCGCAACGCCTCAAAACCACTCTTGCGCCAAGCTTAAACTACCAAAAGACTACTGCGCCACGCCTTGCGCCACACTGCGCCGGGTGTATGATAGGGCCCACAGTATTCAATTACATTTCAGCCACACAAAATTCTGTTTTCTAACGCAAGCGAGGGCTGACAGGTGCAGCTCAAGGCTCAAAGCGTCATGGTGCGACGGGTTAATCATTCATCCAGACTGAGACGTGAACGAGCATCAGACTGGCCTGTTACATCCCAACACTTAGAGAGCTCCGGAGGAACAGATTTGACAGCGAGTCTGCAAGACTGAACCAAAACCACTCGAGAAAACCACAGAGATCTACACAGTTAAACACTAGCGCGCAGGGAGTACAGTCAAACACACACACAGACACGCATAATCTCACACAGACTATTCTGTTAGGGCCAGTTTATTTCATGAAATGTGAAATCCTGAGATTGTTTTTGTCGAGCTCTTACCTTCTGTGAAGATGGAACACTCCCTATCTATGGGTAGTGTTTAAAGGGTCACGAAACACCAAAACACATGTGTTGAGCTGTTGACAGTCGTATATGTGTCCCACACTGCTAAAAACACTATTAGGACACCTATATTTCACTAAAAAGTGTAAATTGGTTGTTTTTGCGTTATTTCAAGCAAATTCGTACTTCCGGTTTGAAACGAATTTTTGAAGCTGCGTCACGGCCATGAGATAATAGCGTGTATTCCAGCGTGCAGACTGGACGTCTGTGCCAGAGTGTGTCTTATTACGTCTTACAGTGTGCTGCATTAATGTATGAGTAAGGCTTGGTTCAAACCAATCAGCGCGCTCTATTGTGCAACTTCATTAATATTCATTACTGTCACAGTGTTTAGACGACAGAGACGCCACGTTGTGTTGGCAAAACAAGCGTGAAGTGTTGCTTTTATAGTTTGCTGCAGTTCAGTTTTGTTTTCATTTTCTCTCTGTGAGAGCTCAGCTGGAGTCACGTGTGGATTAACAGTGTACGCGACGCGCGACAACAATAACTTACGTGTCTAAGGAGGATTATTGTTTACCTGAGAGCTGTTCTCATCTGCAAATGCTGAGATCCGGATTCGCTTGTAGTCTCCTCTTAATAAAGACGCGGCTCTAGTTGCTGGTGATTGTCCTGTCTCTGCAGATTTGGTAAGTGAGCGACCAGTGCTCTTTGTTTATTCAGTTTGTTCGTATCGAACTAAGTTAACTATTGCACCGAGTGTAAACATGTTAGCACCACAACCAAACTTTAACCTCGTGTAGGATTTTCACTGCATTTAGTGACCGGAATAACACACGCGGCTTTCTGACACTACCTGCCGTGTGCATCTAAGTTTCCGATAAATGCTGAGGTTTTTCTCTCATTCGCCGTGCGGTATCAAACATTGCATGAAAAATACACGCTTAGTGCAGATCCTAGAATCAAATATCTCATTTGTCACGAGGGGCATGAATGAATTCCCTGAATGAAAGAGCCAAACTGCAGTTAAAGTCCCCATTTTAATAATTTGCCAAATAATTCGACTACAGATGTCCATGTAAACACATTCACTTTCTCCCGTGTGTGTGTTTTAACTCTGAAACTCAGCGCGCCCAAACAGACACTCCCACACCATGCCTCTTTTCTTCCTCCGACACTCCCCCCTAAACAGAGCTGGACACGCCCACTTTTCTGACTTTTTCCAAAGTAGAGGTGTGAAAATTCCCTGCTGAAACAAGGGGGTTTCATGGCCCTTTAAGGGTTAAAAAATATACAGGGAAGCTAATAATCCATAATAAAAGAAACCTTAATTGATTATGAAAACAGCCCCCTTGTAAACATCAGTCATGAAAATGTTGTAAAGAGTGAATCAAACCGGCTCGGTCCACTCTGGCTCACCCTAAAGTCTATGCCCACTGTGGCAATGAAGTTGCCTCCCAGAAAGGCGCCATCTTTAAAGCGCACCAGGACGCAGGTCTTCCCCACGGCAGAGTCTCCCAGCAGCATCACCTAAAGGCGCCGGGGTCAGAAACAGCTGTTAGGCACTTTATTACGCACGTCCTGGTGGAGTTTAATGAGCTTCAAATGTTCAAACACCAGCACAACGTCAAAGTCAACATGAAACACAACTCACTTTACTCGTATGCAGTGGCATTTCTGAGTGGAATACGAGGTTGGGATTGAAATTGGTTCAAAAATTGAGGATGTGTTCACACTTGGCAGGTTTGGTTTGGTTAAAATGAGCAATATCAGAACCCTGGATTGATCCAATCAGGTAGACTGAACCTAGCTGTGAAGAGTCGTTCTTAAATGATTCATTTATTGTGAACAAACCTTTAAAGTGACTCAGGAATAAGGTGTACAATCGTATTCGTACAATTTAGTATGATTTGCTTGTCCCTCATTGATGGTTGGGTTTAGGGTTGGGTTTGGTGCCACGCCTCCTTTTAAAACTTTAACACTTTCATACGAATGTACGAATTTACGCTACTAAATTAATAAAATTAATACGAATTAGCCCCTAAACTAACAAAATGTAAAATAGTTACATTTCCTCATGAGATCAGGCTGGAACCTCTGATGCGCGCATAAACTATTAATTGAATTTACAGAAAAGTTACTACATTATATATATCGTTATAAGGACATGAGATGACTTAAGTGTGGTTTATACTTCTGCGCCAAGTGACCGGCGTAACCAACGGCGTATGCAACGCGCGTGGCTGTGCATTTATACTTCTGCGCGCTGTCTCTGTTGGTCTGCATTAACACTTCCGAAACACTAGTGTGCAGTGAGGTGTTAATGTGTCTCTGTGTCGAGTTTCTTCGCTGGTGATTTGTTCTTTCTGAACGCTCCCGGGATGTACAAGTGGCTCAAACTCGCTCATTTTGATGCAGGAACCGGCGGACGTGCAACAACTTTAACTATGAGGTAAACACAAAACAAAACTTTCCATCTGGAGCTCCTTCACGGGACTCCACACTTGTAAACAATCGCTCCATTGGGCTCGCGCGGCTCTCGGTCCCGCCCAGACTCGTCAGCGCTACCAAGCCGAACAATCACAGAGCTTGTGCTACACGTCGTTGTGACGTGTAATTATATTTTTTGAGAGGTGCACGTCAGTGACGCCGACAGCCACGGCGTAGGGCTATGCGTCAGCACCGTAGCATATGCGTGCGTTTGACGCAGAAGTATAAATCAGCCTTTAAGTGTGATTTGAGATTTTTGTTTTAAAGCAGAAACCCATGAAAAAACAAACAAACATGGCTCTCTGTCCACTTCTGAACATAGTTCTGCGTGGTCGGACTGTTTTATCAATGCAACACAGACCAGGGACATCTAAAGGAAACAGAAACAGGACAAGATGTGACCATAAAGAGGACACACATTCGCTTCCAACATAATCATGACGAATCCATATCCAGAAAGCCATATCCCTGCAGAATATTTATTATTTATATACTAGATTTCTAGAATATTGACACACTTCATTATTTATCATTTATTCAAATCTATTATTTATATACTTATAGAGCAGTGTTTCCCAACCGTGTTCCTGAAGGCACACCAACAGAACACATTCAACCTCTTCCTAATCAAACACGCCTGAATCAACTCTTCAGAACATGAAAACCTGAAGTTAAAGGGTTAGACAAGGGAGACTCCAGGAATAGGGTTGGAAAACACCGGCTAAGACAAACTGTGCATCCAGAAAGTATTGACAGCGCTTCACTTTTTCCAAGTTTTTATTAAATTCATTGATTTCCTCAACATTCTACACACAATCCCCCATAATGATAATGTGAAGAGAGGTTTTGAAATTGTTGCAAATTTATTAAAAATTAAAAAGCTGATAAAATCACATGTACATCAGTATTTACAGCCTTTGGTAAAGCTCTAAACTGAGCTCAGCTATATTCTGTTTCCACTGATCATCCTTGAGATGTTTCGGCAGCTTCATTGGAGTTCACCTGTGCTCAATTCAGCTGATTAGACATGATCTGAAAAGGCTACACCTGTCTACATAAGGACCCAGGGTTGACAGTGCATGTCAAAGCACAAACCAAGCATGAAGACAAAGGATTTGTCTGTAGACCTCAGAGACAGGATTGTCTCGAGGCAGAAGGCTGGGGAAGGTTACAGGAACATTTCTGCTGCTCTGAAAGTTTCAATGAGCACAGCGGCCTCCATCATCCGTAAGTGGAAGATGATTAACCACCAGGACTCTTCCTAGAGCTGGCCGGCCATCTAAGCTGAGTAATCGGGGTAGAAGAGTTTTAGTCAGGGAGGTGATCAGTAACCCGATGGTCACTCTGTCTGAGTTCCAGCGTTCTTCAGTGGAGAGAGGAGAACCTTACAGAAGGACAACCATCTGTGCAGCAATCCACCAATCAGGCATCTGTATGGTAGAGTGGCCAGACGGAAGACACTCCCCACCTGAGATTTGCCAAACGGCATCTGAAGGACTCTCAGACCATCAGAAACTAAACTCTCTGCTCTGATGAGACTAAAGTTGAACTCTTTGGAGTGAACGCCAGGCGTTACGTTTGGAGAAAAGCAGGCAGCACTCATCACCACGCTAATAGCATCTCTACAGTGCAGCATGGTGGTGTTGGCATCATGCTGTGGGGATGTGTTTCAGCAGCAGGAACTGAAGACTAGTCAGGATAGAGGGAAAGATGAATGCAGCAATGTACAGAGACATCCTGAATGAAGACCTGCACAAGAGTGCTCTTGACCTCAGACTGGAGTGACGGTTCATCTTCCAGCAGGACAGTGACCCAAAGCACACCACCAACATATCAATGGAGCGGCACAACAACAACTCGGTGAATGTCCTTGAGTGGCCCAGCCAGAGCCCAGACCTAAATCCTATTGAGCATCTCTGGAGAGATCTGAAAATGGCTGCACACTGTTGCTTCCCATCCAACCTGATAGAGCTTGAGAGGTACTGCAAAGAGGAATGGGCAACTCCCAACGACAGGTGTGCAGAGCTTGTGGCATCATATTCAAAAAGACTCAAGGCTGTAATCGCTGCCAAAGGTGCATCAACAGAGTATTGAGCAAAGGCTGTGAATACTGATGTACATGTGACTTTTCAGCTTTTTTATCTGTAATAAATTTGCAACAATTTCAAAAACTCTTTTTTCACATTGTCATTATGGGGCATTGTGTGGAGAAAGTTGAGGAAATTTATTAATTTAATCCATTTTTGGAATAAGGCTGTAACATAAAAACATGTAAAAGGTAAAGCTCTATCAATACTTTCCGGATGCACTGTGTGCAGATATTCAATAGATCATCATAATAAACGTGCACAGTATTGATATTACGGACACTTCAGAATACTTTGACTATTTATTATTATCTAATCAAGAATATCGACAATCTACATTGTAAGTGTTAAAGCATTAGCGCTATACATATTTTCTGTGTGTGTTTTTGTGATTTCCTTTGTGTCTTTTTAAAAAAAGGCTGCTCTTTTGTATTTGTATTTTTTGTTTGGTCTAAAACAAAAACTGTGTTAAATTCTGCAGGACTAAATGCATCATGTTTCTTTTGAAATCAAAACTAAACTAGTCAAGAGAGCTGATCTGCAAGTGTGAACACATCCAGAGTGTCTCAATTTGACAAGTGGTTCAGGGGGATAGAGAGTTTAAACGATTGGGAATAACATAAAGCCGAATGAACATCTGCATAACAACACCAGAAACATTCTTTAGACGTAAATAAGGTCATTTCTGCAGACCTTCATAGCCAGGCGCAGATGTTTTGACAGGAGAAAATGCACAGTAACCAAGAGGAACCTCAAACTGTGAGACATGTTTACCCAAGACTTGTGCTGTTATTATTGCAAAATGTTCTTCGCAGAAATTAATGAACTGCTGTTGTGCAATTTTCTGACACTGCAGGAATCATTTCAAGGCCATGCAGTTGTTTTGCTTATTGCACTAAAATAAGACTGAGGTAAAGTTGGTTTTAGAATCACACGTTTGGACATTGAAGTGCCCATGATATCAATATTGTGCATGTTTATTATCATGATATATTAGATTATTGCATATCGGCATGTGTCTAGAGCAGTGTTTCCTAACCCTGTTCCAAAAAGCACACCAACAACACACATTTTCAACTTCTTCCTAATCATGATATATATATATATATATATATATATATATATATATATATATATATATATATATATATATATATATATATATATATATATATATATATATATATATATATATATATATATATATATATATATATATATATATATATATATATATATATATATATATGTATATATGTATATATATATATGTATATAAATATAAAA